AATTCCTGGCGTCTCTATTACTCGTATCTAGCACCGTATCTAGCACCGTTCCAGCTCCGCGAGCCCCCTGCACTCACCGAGCACCACGGCACAAGGCCTGTGGGAGGGGCCTCTCTCCCTCGGCACTCACACTCCACGTCCACCTGCAGAAGCCCGAAGCTTTCACAAAGCCCATCTCCACCTGCATCCTCTACAACGCCTTCCTGCGCCCACGGCACTGGTGACTCTGCTCTCCGAGCGTTCCCCTCCAACTTCCCGTCCACGCAATCAATCATTGTTCTGTCCTTTCAACCAGATTGGAAAAAGGAAAAATATGAGAGATACTACATAGCTAATTCTCTATATCCATAAAACAAAGTGCTATTCCTTTACGGATGGAGAAGTTATAATATACTGAACCACATTTATTGAACTGAGAAAAGTGTATGTCTTCCTGAGAACTAATTCAGCATAGAGACAGTTGAGGAGTAAGGAAACCAAACATTTCTCAGAGGACAACACAATTTCTAACACCTCCAAATAATCAATGATACCTGTTGTTCTGGTGACACAGATAGTGGACTTATTAACAGTTTAGAAAATGTACTCTACAATTATATTTTAAAGTTTATTTTCAAATTTAGAAAGTATTTATTGAACATCTGTTATATACAAGAACTATGCTAAAAGTCGCCTAGAAAGATGAAAGATATGGTAGAAAAAATATAGTAGAGTGGCACACAACCAAACAGGAACTCTTCTAGGTTTTACAGCAAAATTTATTTCTGCTGGGGATGTAGCTCCGGTTCTGGGTTTAATCCCCAGCACCCTCCCCCTCATCTTTTTTCAAAGTCATTTTGTAAAATAATATATCCTAAGTATTACTCAACAGAAAGACAGCTGCTAATAAGAATGCTTAATATCCCTCAAAAGTAAAGTTTGAAAAATATGAACCACTATGACAGCACACTTAATGAATGATGTCATAATTTCAGTGATGTTCAAACTCCCTGAGAAAGAAAAATAAGTTGGAAATGCTAGAGTCAAAGATCAAGAGTGGGGGGCTGGTGAGATGGCTCAGTGGTCTAAAGCACCTACTTAGAACAAGCTTAGCAAAGCACAGGGACCGTGGTTCAATCCCTCAGCACCACATGCCAGCCAGCCCCGCCCCCTGGTGGGCTGAGCTGGCCACACACACAAATAAATAAATAAAATACAATAAAAAAGATCAAGAGTGGGATCACCATTGCTCATGGCTGGTACTCAGTCATGATACCACCATTTTAGGTAAAAAGAAAAAAAAAAGTAACTTTAAAATGTCTGGTTCATGATATATGGTAAAAAGGCCTACTTAATAATGAAAAGTAATGATCTTCATTCTTATTCTTTACACTTTTACTGGCAACTCACTAACCCATTATTTTTAGTTCTGGTAACTGACTTCTAAGCCTGAAATCATTCGCTTGCACCTTGTATCTTAATTCATCAACTTTAAATTTACTGTCTCCCACCAAAACATGAGACTTTAAATGACTTCAGTCAATCCCTTAATATTTTTAATCCTTTTATTAGCTTTTTAAAAGCTACAACCATTTTTTAAAAAATTTTATTTATTTATTCATTTATGTGTGTGTGTGTGTGTGTGTGTGTGGCCAGCTCAGCCCACCAGGGGGCGGGGCTGGCTGGCATGTGGTGCTGGGGGATTGAACCGCAGTCCCTGTGCTTTGCTAAGCTTGTTCTAAGTAGGTGCTTTAGACCACTGAGCCATCTCACCAGCCTAACAACCAGTATTTTTAAATTAGCTATCTTGATCTTTCAATTTCCTTTGTGAAGTGACTTACATGTCACTTCATGTGACACGCAAAATACCAAGATTTTAAGGGTAATCCTAAACCCTGGCCAATGAGTTTGTACATAGGGTCACTCATTTCAGACATATCAGCCAAGACCTCACTGATCCTGCAGAACCTGCTTCCCAGATGATTCAGGCAGGTGGGCTGTCAGAAACCCTGTTCCCCACCACATGGACCTTTCAACAGCGTTGTTGCAGTGTCCCAACATAGTGTCTGGTTTTGCCAAAGCAAGTGATCTAAGAGAAAGCAAAGCAAAAGCCACAGTGACCTCACCCCAGCGAATCACATGCTGTCATTTCTTCAGTATCTTACTGTTCCAAAAGCCAGCCCTGTCTATCATGGGAGGTGACTACAAAAGGGCATAATGACTAGATGCAAGCATGGCTAGAGGCTTTTGTCCTGCACATGCATGGGTCTACAGTCAGCCAAAGATCAAGGCAGATTTCTGGAGCTCTTTCACTACAAATTCCAGCCATTTCAAGCAGCCTCAAATTAAAATTTCTACCTTCATCACAGTGACACTGTTGATTCTTGGTCCCATGTCACCATGCAGTGGTTGGAAAGTGCTCTCAGAAAGAAAGCCAAGGTACACATGGAGTTTAGGTCCTCTTCTCTCAAAGACTATACAGTCTTGTCCTATTTTTCAATGCCTGAAAACAACCTCTTCATATTTTCCTCAGTTTTATACTTTATTACTTATTAAAGTAAGTCTAATACTCTTCCTTTTGCTATAATACCAAAAATTCTTTAAAGAATATTTTTAAACTTCTATTTCTTGTTTGACAATCATATATGTATTTCATGCTTGCCTCGAACTCACTACATAGCCAGTCCAGGCTAGTCTTATACCTGCATCGATCCTCCTGCGTCATTCTCCCAGATGCTGCGATTACAGGCATGTACAACCATGCCTGGCTATTGTTACATTTTTGACTCCTCAACTTAGGCCCTTGTCAGCCAGAGTGGTCACACATGCCTGATGCCCCAGATACTTTTGAGGCTAAGGTAGGAGGATCACTTGAGTTCAATAGGGTTTGAGACCAGCCTCTGTAATACAGCAAGACCCTACATCAAAATAAAACAAACACCTCTATCTTTCTTCCCCTTTATCATTTTCCTTCTTTCTTTCTTTCTTTCTTTTTCTTTTTTTTGTGGTAGCAGAGATTGAACTCAGGACCTTGTGCTTGCTAGGCAAGTGCTTATTCTACTGAGCTATCTCCCCGGCCCCCTAATTTTCTAACTCTGGCAAACTGAAGTTTATCAAGGTCAGGTAGGTTTACATGTTCTGCCATCATAACTGAGTTCTTATGGGCCAGTGAGATAACTCAAAAGACTAAGCACCTGCTTAGGCAAACAATAGGGAGTGGGGTTCAATCCCTAGCACTACATGCCACACCGGCCCCACGCTTGGGCACACAGAGCAGGCCACAGAGAGGGGGCATGGTGGCATAAACCTATAATCCCAACACTGGAGAGCCTGAAAACAGGAGGATCATTATGAGTCTGAGCTGTGTAGTGAGATCCTGTACCAAATACATTTTAAAAAAAGAATTTTTTTTGTTTATCCCTTTAATGTTTCTAAAATTTGAAATCAATAAACTGCATTTATAATTCCATTAATATCACTCACTACAGTTTCCAGTGTCTTTTTTTTTTTTTTTTTTTAGGTTATGAGCAGAATATATTTATTGAGGGAAAGAAAGCTCCTGTCCGAGAGAGGGACAGGAGGGGGGGTCCACCAGTGTCTTGATCTATTTGCCTTAAGCATTTCTAGTGTTAAGTTTAGGCTGTCTTTTTCTTGTATTCTATCAACTGTTCAAAATTGGGTAAAATTTCAATTGCATTCACCTTACACATAAACAGGCTGTTCTGAGTAACAATAGCTGGCTGTGGCAGTTCAGGCAGAGTGCTGACTTGACTGGGCTTTGGGACCCACCTGGGGCCTGGAGGAGCAGCTTCTGGGCAGGTCTGCATGAGTCATGGAAGCACAGCTTTGGGGGTCTCCATCTGATCCTTTCTCCTTCCTCCCAACACTGTTCCCCTGCTCTGATATGAACTAAGCATCTCTGCTCCACTGCAGCCCTTCTTCCATGATGTTTCTACCTTGGAGCCAGCTGATCACAGTCTGAATTTCCTCACAACATGAGTCAAACTTCTTTTTTAAGTTGTGACTGTCAGGTATAGTGTCCAGCAACAGGAACACTGCCTAATACACCATTTTAGATTTAGCAATGTTTCCCATTGTGAGTGGTGGGACAGTTGGCAGAATTTTTTTATTTCTCCTATAAGATGGGATAAACTACCTCACAGAACTGTCACAAGGACTAGCTAGATATATTTTGTTTACCTGATAGAGAATAATTATTCATGAAATACTGGTCTTTACTGCTACTAGCTTTTCTAAAAAGGTAAGTCTCTTTAGCTGCTCTGGATGTCTGCCCCAAATCACATGAATGTTGTAAATTCTGAAAAATGCCCAAGTAAACTACCTTCTAGATTTTCAAAATTATAGGTATGAAATTTATATGAACTTGCCTGTTTAAACTAAAGTTTACTTCTACCTAGCTATCCCATTACTTTTGTTTTGCATTGTGAATTCAAGCCTAGAGCCTACTTATGCTAGGCAAGTACATGCCCAGCCCTACAAATTAATATTTAAATGTATTATTTACATACTGACTTTACCTAAAGACAGGTAAAACACTGTACCAAATATTTCCAAAGAAATGAGAAAAATACTCAGTACATTTTTTTTTAATGTTTAAGCATTCAAAAAAAGTTCATGATAAATTAGTTCAATAACTGATAAGCTAATTTTACTAGCATGAGCAAAGAATTTGTTAAAAGAATGGTATGGGCTGGGCAGATAGCTCAGTGGTCTAAGAGCCTGCATGGCAAGCACAAGACCCCGGGTTTGACAGCAGGTACCGCGTGCCGTGCCAGCCAGGCGTGCACTGCTGTCCCAGAAACCAGGTATGATAGAATATCCTGTAATCCCAGTGCAGGGGAGGCCGAGACTGGAGGATCACTAACAAGTCTGAGCTATGCAGCGAAACCTTGAACCAAATAAATAGATTTTTAAAAATATTTTTTAAAAAAATGTATGGTTGGGCATGTAGAGTGGTTGCCTAGTGTTTGGCCCTTGATTTTATCCCTAATACTGAAAGAGAGAGAATGCTAATTTTTAGCAGGCTACTGATTATCTCTTCCTCCTCTGAACTTCTGATATTCTTAAGTTTGATTGTTCATTTAGTCAAGAAATATTACCTTTGATTGTTCACCTGGTCAAGACATAGCAACAGGCCTTGTTGGGAAATCACAAGGGGGTAATGGAATGTGTCTCTGATTGAGAAGAAAAAAGAGAGCCAGAACAGGAGGTGGAAGGACTGTTGCCTTTTCTATGGCTGTTCCTTAAAAAGTGGACCACCTGCGCTCTTCTCTCTCACCACACAATTCCTTTGTTGAACCTCACAAATAGCAATGTTTGGTGTTTGTTACACTGAGCTGGGTATTACCATTACTCCCATACCCTTTCTTTTCCCTTCCATGTACCTCATGCCTTCCTAAATTCCTATTACCCTAAGGTTGGTAGGCAGTAATCATGACAATCAAATTTTATAAAGCTCTACCACTCCCCTAGAGAACCTGCAATTACATAGCAGACTCTTCTGGAGAGCGATCACCCTGAATGCACACTGCCTCTCTTTCATCTTTCTGTCTTCGGTGACTGACATAACAGGAAGCTCAGGAAATGCTGAACAGGAGCATGAAGCACAGATCTGATGAATCTGTGAGGTCTTACTTATGCCCAGATTTAGCATCTCATTTCTTCATTCAAAAGTATTTTCTCAGCCTTATTTCATCATCCAACAATGTTACTAAGCACCTAACACAATGATAGCTTGTGCTGGAGACTTGGGGGTGACACTCATGCTGCCTTCAGCGGCTCCAATTACCAGACTTAGCCTTCACGACAATCGGTCTGTTTGTTTCCCTGTTTGATAATAAATACTTCAGGAGAAGAAAAGTTAAGAATTCACAGGTACAGCTTCACAGAAAAAACAAAACAAAACAAAACAAAACCCTAAGTATTTGATAATCATATCACTCTTCTGCTTATGCTCTATTTCAGTTAGAGAAATCCGAAACGCACACAATGCCTATACACATCATTATTGCTTACCACCTCCACAATTCTTCTCTGCACGTTAGTCTGCTCCCTGTTTCCCAAATATACCAAAGATACAAGCCTTTGCACTTTCTGGTCTCCCGACCTCCAATAGTTTTTCTTTGTAATTTCCTAACTTAGTGCAGATTTTCACTAACATGTTATGTTCTGCATATATATCCCTCATTCCTACAGTGTAAGCGTCTGCTTATTGACAATCAATAAATACTTGCTGAATTAAGGAGTCCTCTACCCCCACGGGGCCAGGGGGGAGAAGACTTCAGACCTTTCCTAGCCCAAGACTCACGTAATGCGCACATGTCACGAGACCAGCCTTTGCTTGCATAATTCTCTCATTCTAAGTGTGGTCCACGGAAGCTGGCTCCACTCCTCCAGGACAGAGGACTTGGTCACCGAGACCCCAGGCCCTAAAGCACGAGGGCACAGCCTGGATCGCAGGTTTCGAATGCTACAGGCAGAAAGAAACAGCGAGAAGCTGGGTACCGAAGCCACACGACCTTACCTCCGCCTCGCTGGCGTCCACCTCGCTCAAGTGCTGGCCCGTGGTCCCCAAGCCAGCTCTGGAAAGGAGCCGCGACACATACCTACCTACCAAGTTCTGCAAGGATTGCGTGGTCCCAACCCAACCCCACTTCCGGTTCCTGACTGCACGGAGAGTGGCATCCTGGGAATTGTAGTTTTCAATCTGGCCGATTGGTGGGCAGGGCGTAACCAGAGCTGTCCCTTTTGCTGAGGCACTGTGTCTGGTCTGGAGGTTTCCTCTCTTCTCAGATCCTTTTTTTCCTGTCTGTTAGTTGACGATTCCAATTAACCACCCCTCTTCCTCACCGACCTGACATGGCGCCAGCAGATGATCAAGCTGTGTGTTTTCTCTTTGGCTGGACGACTCAAAACTGAGGTGAAACCAAGTCTTGTACTGCTCATGATCTCTCAGCGTGGGGACCTTGCAAACCTCCTGCTTTCCTCACAACCTACAGGGCCTACAACTCTTTCCTGAAAATACTGCATTCTTTCTGCTACTTGACTATCCGGGATCACAAAAGATATATATATATATTGGCAGCCAAGCTGTCTAAACTCTGGTTACTCTTCCTCCTTTGTCTCCTTTCATGTATCAACAGAGAAATTGAGGTTCAGAGACATGAAGTGGCCAGGCAAACCACTTGTGTGGATAAAACCTATTAGCTTCTCTTCATTCCTGCAATTCTAGAGGTCTTTTTTTGAGAGACCTTTCCACCAATGAGCCTGAAATAGGTCTGGGTCATGAAACAACAGACTTGTTGGATCTCTCTTTGGCCCAGTTTCTCCTCTGGGCTTTTCTCTGCATAACTCTTCCAGAGCCATGCCTCAATTTGATTTACAAATGCTATCATGGAACATTTCTTTTCTAAACCCCAGATCTCTCAGCTCTTTTCTGCTCAGACGCTGGCCCTGGCTATTCATTGCCTTCTGAAATGCCCCAGTTCGGTTGGTAAAAGGTTCAAATGACCTTTTGTGACCCACACATGACACACTTGCCAGTCCCTCAACCTCACTGTCAGCCATACTAAGTACCCCACCCCCACACTCATGTCCATTCACCCCTGAATAAGTTTATGACTGCTCTCTAGTGGAAAGAAAATGTTACACTGACTGGGTGTTGCTATTTCTCCCACCTGCACATTTGTTGCCAGATAATTGTGTCTGTCCTACTCCGGATCTGTCAGTGACTTCCTGGTATGCCTGGATATAAAATCTTAACTCTTTTCTCAAAGCCTTGTACCTTCTGGTTCCTGCCCCTCCATCTTCATCTCCTATCCTTCTCCCTCCAACTTGCCATGATATGTTTGTACTGGTTTTGAAATGCTTCAAACACACCAGGGGACTTTTCACAGATTGTTCCCTCTCATGGTTTCCGTGGCTGGTTCTGATCCTTTATGCCTCAGCTCTAACATTCCCTGTTCTGAAAGAGCTTTCCTGGCTACCTTAGATAAGACTGGCTCATCCCATCTCTGTCTTGACATCTTTGTTTTTAAATATCAACTCTCAGGTAGTAATGTGTTTTTTTGCCCTGTCTTTCCTACTAAGTTCATGAAGGAGACTGTGTTTGCCATGTGTATGGCTATATTTCCAATGCCAATGCAGAGTAAATACTTGTTGACAGAATAAATAATTTCTCTACTTTCTGGACACATCCAAATCCTAACTGCCAAGTTTAAGGCTTGACACATGATATTCAATAAATATCTCCAGGCATACTAGTTCTAATTAATGCTACCAACTATAGGAAGCCACTTCTGATTACTCTTTTGTTTCTCACCACTCAAATGATTTTTCTCTGCTTAAAGGTCTCACAACACCTTTCTCATTGGTGGCCCTTAGCACACTGTAGTTTATGTTGCTATTCCATTTCTACATGTCATTTAACCTCTATTGGGAATTTTTTTTTTTTTTTTTT